TGTCTGATGGAGTAGAGACAGAACTAGAACCCTGGTTGTCAGCACATGCCCATTGGGGATACTCAGTGGAATGTGCCATAGGCTGGCTCACAGATGTCAGGGAAGGACATATGGATTCCAGTTTTAGTTCTAAACCAGCCTCCAAACCAGTGGGCCCTCCATCAACTCCATCAGACAACAGCACTTAGGCATCTGTTTGGGGGCCTGTCCTGCCTTAGAAGGAGCCCTGGGTCAGACCCCTCCCACCTTCCCCTTTTCAGTCCAGCTACTCACTTCTCATCACCACGAGGTTCACTTCCTGATGCAGCTGCCCCTGGCTGAGAGACAGGGTCAGGTTTCCAGAACCAGCATCCTGAGGCAAGGCCTGGGGCAGGCTGAAGCGGAGCGGGAGTGTCTCCTTCAGCTGGATCTTCCTGTCTTGGTGAGCATTCACCACAGACACCTTCTTGTTCTCCAAGGAGAAGGTGATCCAGGACTGAAGGGAGGAAGCCCCCTCCTTCTGCCACTTCAGCTCCCCGCTCAGGTTTTCATCTTCAAAAGTAAGTGGGAAGGAGAACTCTACGGGCTCCCCTACTTTTGTATAGAATGTGTTAGAGATCTTCCTGAAAGCTGGAGGTGGGAAGGAAGAGAACCTGGGTTAGAAGGTAATAGGACGATGAGGGTGTGCGAGGTGGGGCAGGCATGCGGTGGGGGCAGCAAAAAGATGGAAAGGGACCGGGGGCATCCAAACACCCAGGTTGCCATTTCAGGCCCTTAAATTACCATCTACCTCTCCAACATTCTCTCTCATCTCTCCACCCCAGCCTGTTGCCACAGCAGTGCCTCTTCCCCCTGGAAGCCCTCATGGAATAGCCCAGGCAGAGGGGAGCTTCTCCCTCTTCAGGATCCCTGGAGTACAGAGAGCACTTGCCCTGCATTTCTTAGGTGTTTAAGTTAGTACCCTTCACAAGACAAGAGCAAACACTTACACAGGCTTACTATGTGCCAGGCACTGTTCTAAGGGCCTTACATACTACATTAATGCTCACCGTTCCACCACAAGTAGGTACTAGCATAGTGAGCATCACCCCCATTTTTCAGAAACCAAGGCACGGAGAGGTTCAGTAACTTGCCCAAGATTGTCAGATCCAGGATTTGAATCCGAGTCCACACAAGCACCCCAAGATCAAGGACAGGATCTGGGGTAAGACCTGGCATTCTGGGCTCTCACTTTCTCCCACAGTGTCTAGCTCAGGATTCTAAAGGCGCACTGTAGAAGGTCCTCAGGGCTCGCTTGTGACCCCAAGTAAGTGGATTTGCCAATTTGGTGAGAGTGGGAGGCTGAGGCAACAAAGAAAATAGATGTCCTTGACACTCCTCCTTTGGGGCCTCCTCCAGGGGCCTGAGGGACCCCTCACATCCTTACATCCCATGTCCCTTCCTTCCTCCATGCCCCCCACCCTGAGAAAGAGAGGGTCCAGTGTATCCCTTAGGATAGACTTCAGCTTTAGGAGAGCCTGGCCCTGGCCTCCCTCTGCCCTCTAGTACCAGACCCAAGAGCAGAGCAGTGAGAGCAAGGGGAGGGTCTGCAGCCTCTGAAGCAGGGGGCAGTTTGCAGGGGAGAGGAGCAGCTCTTACCCAGCACCAAGATGTTTATCTTGAACTCCAGTTTCTTTGCGTTCTGGGAGACCGTGCATGTCCATGTACCACTGTCCTGCAACTCCAGCTGGGGCAGTGAGCGGCTCTTGTCCACATTCCACTCTTTATTCCCTGGACCTTTACATTTTACTGAAGGGTTACTACCAGAGGGGCTCTCCAAAGTCAGGGTCAGGCTCTTCCCTCGCATCAGGCGGATGCTGCTGTGGGTGCCGGAATTGACCTTCACTGTGGAGGGAGCAAGCCACCTGTGTCACACACACTTTATCCCCAAGGAGAAGGGAAGAAGCCAGAAAACCAAGACTGTCTCTCCATTACCCTTATCCCCACATCTCTTCCAGCCATAGCCCAGCTGCCCACCCCCAGCCCTAGGCAGGGCTTCCCTCTCCCCTCCTTTTCCTCTCTCCAATCCCCCTCTTCTCTTTCTTTGTCTCTCCCCTTCCTTCTTCTAGTTCCTGCCCTTCTCCTTCCCACTCTTTAGGTATTTTCCTCTGCCCCTGTCTGACCCAAGGCTTGAGGATGGTTTGAGATGTGGTGGCCAGTCTCATCTGGCCCTGGACTACTGAAATACCGTCAGCTCAGGCACTGGTTCAGGTGCAGGGACGGGAGAGGGGGGAGGGCAATTGACTGAAGTGTCTGCACCCCAGGCCTGCCCTACTCACATCTGAACACCAGCAATTCCACTTGTATTTCCTTGTTCTCCACTTCACAGGTATAAATCCCTGAGTCTGACATCTCAAGATTCTTGATGACCAGAGGAAAGGATCCTTGGTCCCACAGGAGTTTTTTTGATTCGACGCGACTTTTCAGTGTGGAGGGACCTGGGAGTAGAAGTCATAGAGAGGAGGTTGGGGTATCCTGGAGACATGGCACCCCGGTGAAGGCAGGGCTCACAACTTTTCTGACCTGAGTTGCAGATTTCCTGCAGAATCTGCCCTCATCTTAGTAAGAGAATCCCAGACTGGTGAGGAGGTCCCGTTACATTCACTTACCTGGCCAGGACAATGTCTCACTAACCCAAAATAAAGTAACCGTATTTAGAGAACACCAGTTCCTACATGTCAAATACTTTACATGCACCATCTCAGATAATCTGCACAACGATTCCAAGAAATAGGTACTGGTTTGCTTATTTCGCAGATAAGGAAATTGAGGCAGAGAGATTAACTGGTTGCCCGAACTCTTATTTACACAAAATGTCGGCAGGAACATAAAGCAGTACAATTTCTTTGGGATGTAATTTGTAATATCTACAAGGAAGGATGGGTTAAACAAATTATGGTTCAACCATCCAGTGGAATGCTATAGAAGAAGCTCTTTAAGAATAATATCTAAGAAACATCATTAACTGAGTAAAGCAAGATATTAAACAGGCCACCATTTCTTTAAAAAGGAGTGGGAAATTTATCTATCTTTCTGCCTTGCATATAAACAAATATTTTTAGAAGCAAGCATAAGAAAATGGTAATCTTGGTTGCCCCTATGGGATAGGAAGTGCATACCTTGAGGCAGGTGTGGGAGAGGGGCTTTTCACTATATACCCTTTTGTACTTTTAAAAAATTTTTATTAATCCTCACCCAAGAACATGCTTAGAGAGAGGAAAGGGGGAGAGAGAGAGAGAGAGAGAGAGGGAGAGAGGGAGTTAGAGAGAAACATTGATCAGTTGCCTTCCATACTGGACCTAACTGGGGATGGAACACACAACCCAGGTATGTGCGCTGACTGGAAATCGAACAGGCGACCTTTTGGTGTACAGGACAACCCTCAACCAATTGAGCCACTCTGACTAGGCCCCTCTTCTACTTTTTGAATTTTGACTCCAATAAGTGGTGGAGTAAGATTAAAATTCAGGCCTATTAGGTACACTATGCACTACTGTTTCTGGAAAGTTCTCCTCCAGGCTCCTCTTTGAGTATCTAACAACCATCACCAAGAGGAGGTTCTTGTTAGCTAACCATTATCCCTGGTGCGGTGGTAATTCCAGAATTCCTGTGAGGAGGCATACATAGCAAACACACAGTGTTTTACTTAGAATGCATATTTGCAGGGATGGGAAGAAGATGACGGAGATAAAGCCCCACCCTCAGTGCTCTCCGCACCATGCCTCCCCGAGCAGTCGTCAGCCCTCTCCCTATATTGACCTTGGTGCGGGAGCCTGGATGCCAATGTTGGCTGTGCATTCTCCCTTCTCTCCTCCTCCAGACCTCATAGTCCCCTTCCCCTGCTCAGGCTCATCCTCTCCAGAAGACCTTTCCAGAGAACCTATAGCCCTGGGCACAACCCAACCCCAGCTTCCCCAACCCTCACCCAACACCCCTTTCATTTGTCCCTTCAGTTGTCCCTATTCTACTTGCTCTTTCCCTTTGGATTTACACATGATTTAGGTCCCCAGTTTTTTTGAAATCTTACTGTATTCCTTTCACAATTTACCAAACCTCTTGAAAGAGTAGCCTTCTCTAGTTCCACCCCACTTTTCACCTCTTTTGATTCTCGCCTCCGTATCTAAGCCCCATTCCCTTGCCTTCGCTTTGAACTCCTGTTCTGACATTGACATTTGGGTGTTACCCCAGAATGTCTTAGATCCTCCTCCCCATTTCTGTAGCTATTTTAAAGTCCACTGCATCCCCTGCCAGCTCTGCAGATGACTCCCCAATTGATATTCCCAACCTTTCTCCTCAATTCTGGGCCCGTATTTCCAGTGGCCCAAGGCATAATTTTAACCAGATTAGCCTGGCATTACCCAAAACTCAGTTGGTTCAAAATGAAATGTATCACCCCTTCCCTAAAATAACTCTTCTTCCTTGCCTTCCTTTTCCACTTCTGGGCCCATCATGGCCCACTTGTCCAGGCTGTCCCATACTTTGCAAAAGCGATTGTAGGATGGTGTGAAATGTCTTAAGGGTGTGTTTGGGTCTGGGTTAAATTCATGGAGGAGGCCAGCGTTGAACCAAGACTTAAAAGAAGTATAGGCAGTGGAGTAGAGGGAAGGGAAGCAGGGAGGTCATCCAGGGAGGGGCAAAGCTCCAGTGGGCAACCACCTCCAAGCAGTGAGGAAGCCACGTGGGCGTGGCGGTTTCTGGCTGGGAATCTGTGGGAAGTGATGCTAGCGGTGAATGTCAGGCAGAAGCTTCTAGGCTTAGTCTAGTGGACTAGGGAGTGATATGTGCAGAGCATTGCTTAGGAAGTTAGCGCTGCAACAGGTGGAAAAGAAATCAAAGTAGAAGAGACTAGTTAGTAGCAAAGAGAATTGTAGTAGCAGAGAGGTATGTGGCCTTGGCCAATGATGGTGGCATTCCCATGGGAACAAAGAAGATGAAACAGAAAAACACTTCCAAAGGAGGGAATGGCTGATAGTTGGTGATGGATAGGAAACCAGGGATTGAAGAAGAAAAACATTCAGCTCTATGGTTCAGAAACTGAGGGAATTAGGAGAATGACACTACCTTTGTCAGAGATCAGGAAGTTGGGAAAGGGAGCTGCTCTACAGAAAACTCAAATCACAGAAAGAGAACAAAAGCATTGACATAAATGATTTAAGAATTTTTAGAAAAAAGCACATTGTTTCAATCTCACAGGTGATCAAAGAAATGCAAATTAAAATAACAATGACATATACTTTCACCTGTCAAATTAGCAAAAAGAAAAAATTTAAATAATAGTACTCAGTGCTGGCAAGGGTGCTAGTGAGAGAGGCATACTGTGACATTCACTAGGCTTACTGCAAATGAACAGAACCTTTCTGGAAGCAATTGTGCAGTGTAAACCAAGTGTTTTTAAGAGTTCATATCTTTAATTTATTTCTAAAACTTTATCCTTAAAACAATAATTTAAGCCCTGGCCAGGTAGGTCATTGATTAGAGTGTCCTCCCTATACACCCAGGTTGCAGATTCGATTCCCTGTCAGGGCACATACAAGAAGCAACCAATGAATGCATAAATAAGTGGACCAACACATTAATGTGTGTGTGTGTCTCACTCCCCCTTCCTGTCTCTCTCTAAAATCAATAAATAAAAAATAAAATAAACAATAATTTAAAAATGCAAACCAAAATGTCGGTACAAAAATAACTATAGTGTTTGTTAATAAAGTACAACATTAGACAAGAGGGTAATGGCTGCATATTAGAATACATGAATTTGAGGGAATATTAGGGTGGCACCAAAAATATTTATAAATAATTTTTAATGAAATAGAAACTATTCATAATATACATTGTTAGAGTTGCGTTAAGCTAATCTTTACTTTTTAGGTTAGTTATTTTAATTAGAAAAAGTATATAGACTCAACACTTCCCTTTTCCTGGCCCACCCTTCTAATACTACTATAAACAGTTTGGTGTGGATTCCTCCATGATTTTTTCTTAGCTCATGCAAACATATATTCACACACATTATATTTTTAAATTAAAATGAGAGTAATATTACATATATAGCTTATTCTTTCCAATTAACAAAATATGCTTGACATGCTTCTGAGAATATACATGTGGAACTTTTCATTCTTTTTGTGTTCCACAGTGTTTTTCTCTAGTGTTTGAAGTACAGCAGTTATTACCTAAAGGTCTTTTATCTTTCTGAGTTGCTCCTTTCCTGGTCCTTTGGCTAGAAAAAATGGGCTTTCGTTGAGGCTTATTTTTGCCTGTGCCCACTGGTGTTTCCAGATTGCCAGCTTCTTCAGCTCCAAGACTGGAATGTACAAGGCAGCAAGAAATCTCACTACTTGTTGTTCCTCAGGTCCTGCGGTCCCTACCAGTCTGCCCTTTTCTCTCTACCTTTCAAAATCTTCTTATGTTTGTTCTATATATAATGTCCAGGGTTTTCTGTTGTACTTAGTGAGAGGAATAGTGAAAAGTATATTACTATGGACTGAATTATGTCCCTCCAAAATTCATATGTTGAAGTTTTAACACTCAATGTGATGGTATTTGGAGATAGGGCCTTTGGAAGGTAATTAGGTTTAGATGAGGTTGTAGGATGGGGCCCTCATGATGTGATTAGTGCCCTTATAAAAAATAGACACCAGAAAGCTTGCTTTCTCTCTCTCCACCACATGAGAACACAGCAAGAAGGTGCCATCTGCAGGCCAGAAAGAGAGTCCTTTTCAGAACCCAACCATACTGGCCAGCACCTTAATCTCAGACTTCCAGCCTCCAGATCTGTGAGAAAATAAATTTCTGTTTTTTGACTCACCCTGTCTATGGCACTTTGTTATAGCAGCCCAAGCAGACTAATGCATACACCTACTTCATTTTCCTGAAAGCCCTCATTTTTTAAAAATTGTATCATTTTATTGTACAAACACAATGGAATTCGTATGTACACACACTGTGCTGAAGAGCTTCCCCCCTTTAAAATATGTAAATGAGCATACTTGGGTTAATTCTGGTCACAGAGGTCAGAACAACTGCCTCATAAACAAATATGCCCCCAAATGTCTTTTAAGCCTGCAGTTATGTTTTAGGAAGGAGGATGTGATTTATAACATTTATCAAGCTTTGTAGAAATGAGTCATTTTATAACAATATTCTATTATATTTACATATATACATGAAAGCCCTCATTCTTTTTATTACCTGCATAATTTCCCACAGTCGTAATGTAGTTCAACTCTTTCCTCACTAATTAGTGTTTAGGTTGAATTCTACTCTTTCACATTATAAACAATGCTTATAACAACATCCTTGCATAGATATCACAAAATACTCACAGTTTTATTTCTATCAAATAGATTTTCCAGAATAGACACCAGGTGAAAGGGTTTTAGTATTTTGTACTTATTAAACATTACTAGATTACTTTTAAAATTTAGTCTAATAATTGGTCATCCCATCATGATATAATGCTATTAGGGAGTAGAATAAAGG